ATAATTTTGATATGACTTTAGCCTTCATTGTCTCTTTAGAATAGATAATGGCAGAGATATAAAGTTTGTTCAAGTGAAATCGTGATTAGATAACGTGCTAGGACAGGATGTGAGGACAGCGAGCAGATCAGATCACGGTTAAGACATGCGGGTTAAGACAGGGCAGGAAGGATCTCCCACTGTCACTTGACATGTAATTAGTGATGGGCTCAGGGGTTTCATCACCCAAACCCCCCTCCACACCTCCAGCCCAGTGTGGCAAATGTGCGACGGCGTAAGTTTGAATGCACTTCTGTCATACTGTTTTTGTGTTGCGTTATGTTATGTTGTTGTACCGGTATTTATTTCCATTTGAAGCCCAATGTCTGGAAATGAAGAGCGCACGTTCATTGCCATCAAGCCTGATGGAGTGCAGAGGGGGCTCATCGGAGAGATCATCAAGCGTTTCGAACAGAAAGGCTTCAAGTTAGTTGCAATGAAGTTGATCCAGGTAAATTGAGTTAACCGTTTTTATCTCTATTGTTTTAATAGGACTTGCATTTTCTTTTAATGGTAAAACTGCGCGCTGAGAGGGCGAAATTGACAACAGATGCATTTACTTCTACATTTTTAACATGTATAGATTTTTTTATATATATATTTCGCAGTAAGACACCTAAATCACTGCTCAGCTCTCAAGGATGATATATATATATACACACACACACACACACATATGACTTTCTAAAAAACTTAATCACATTAAAACTTTATACATTTTCCCTTTTCCCTTCTTCCTCCTGGTGTGAGGGCACTTAAGCTCTCTCTCAGACACACTTGTCTTCTAAGGGTTAAATCAATTACTAACTCTAATTGTAGTTCCTTGTGGTCTGCAAGGTTGCACCTGCTATTTATATCCCCTGTGACCATCTAGTTATTTACATATATATGGTTATAAAAATGCCCTCAGATGCCACTGAAAAAAAGACTTTCTAATAAATGTTTAAAAATATATAATTGTATTAGAAATGCATTTGAAATTGATTTTCTAATTAAGTTTCTATTATATTACTTAACTGATTAAAAACTTAATATATTCTTGGTTTTTACTTATAGGTCTCTAGTCTCTAATTGTGGAAATCTCCATTTAGAGCTGGTCTTCTCAGGGTTAAACCAATTACTAACTCTAAATCAAGCGTAGCGTTAGTTCTGGCAGGTCACGTTAGTCAAGCTCGCATCAGATGACTCTCAGCGATCCCCATCAACCTGTGGGAATACGACACCTATCTAAGCATTCATATATAAGGTCCCTCAGTATTATCAGCAGTTTTCGCATTGCTCAATAGCTAATTACTCTCCTCCATCCCCAACTCCTCCTCTGTCAGTCAGGATTCAGCCTTCTGATTCTCCTTGAATCAGACTAATTCTAAAAATGTGTACATAAAATGATTGAACTTAATATCTGCAATACATTTATGTTAGTTCTGTTCTGTTTACCCTGGGGGGGGTTATTGCTGCTCTCCATGCTCTCATCCATGCTAGGCTGCATGGAGGCGCAGGGAGTTCTTGCCCAGAACAGAACCATACCGCTAATCCAAACTGTATGCTAATTGTCAATCATCTTTGAGAATTGTAGATCCTTGTGGTCTGCAAAGTTGCACCTGCTATATATATATATATCATTTAATTCTCAAAACTTTATATGCTTTTTTTGCTCATGTTTTGTATGTTTGTCTTCAATGCAGGCCGATGAGGATCTTCTGAGACAGCACTACTGTGACCTGAAGGATCGGCCTTTCTTCCCTGGGCTTGTTAGGTTTATGTCTTCTGGCCCTGTGGTTGCCATGGTAAGCCTATTTATATTATTTTCCCCAGAATGTGACTAGGGCACTTTGAATTTAAAAATATTTCTCCTTTATTGCTAATAAATATTCTTCATAAATTTCATAAAGGTGATTGTACTAGTGTTATTTCTGTGATATACTTTTAGGTGTGGGAGGGTTTTAATGTTATAAAAACTGGCAGAGTAATGCTCGGTGAGACTAATCCCATTGACTCCAAACCTGGGACTATCAGAGGTGACTTTTGCATTCAGGTTGTCCGGTAAGATCTTACGCTGTATTCAAAAATATCAATTTGATGACTGTGTTTTAAACAGCAGATAGTTTATAAAAAAAGCGCCTGAAAATGAATGTGTAAATGTAATGGAAAATAACTGCCTGAATGTTAGATTTAATATTTAAGTGTACATCCACTCTGCAAACCAATCAATTATTTAGACATTTGGTTAGAAAAAGACAAATGTATACAGTTCAAAAGTTTGGGGTCGGGGTGTATATATATATATATATATACAGTGGGTACGGAAAATATTCAGACCCCCTTAAATTTTTCACTCTTTGTTATATTGCAGCCATTTGCTAAAATCATTTGTTAATTTTTTTCCTCATTAATGTACACACAGCACCCCATATTGACAGAAAAACACAGAATTGTTGACATTTTTGCAGATTTATTAAAAAAGAAAAACTGAAATATCACATGGTCCTAAGTATTCAGACCCTTTGCTCAGTATTTAGTAGAAGCACCCTTTTGATCTAATACAGCCATGAGTCTTTTTGGGAAAGACCCAACAAGTCAATATAACAGAGTGAAAAATTTAAGGGGGTCTATTTAATACTTTCCGTACCCACTGTATATATATTAATGTTGAAAAAAGTTACTTTTATTCAGCAAGGCATTAAATTAATTAAAACCGCTTAGAAGATATTTATAATGTTACAGAAGATTTCTATTTCAAATAAATGCTTTTTTTCCTTTCTGTTCAAAGAATCTTGAAAAAATGTATTAGTTTCCACAAAAATATTAAACAGCACAACGGTTTTCAGCATTGATAATAATAATGGTCATCATGTCATGAAGACTGGAATAATAGCTGCTGAAAATTCAGCTTTGCCATTAAAGGAATAAATTACTTTTTAAAATATATGAAAATAGAAAACATTATAAATTGTAATAATGTTTTCACAATTAGTTTTTTACTTTTGTTTTTGATTTGCTCATATTAAATTGCTTTCACTTCAGGAACATCATTCACGGCAGTGATTCTGTTGAAAGTGCCAACTCCGAGATCAACCTGTGGTTCAAACCAGAGGAGATCTGTGACTACACCAAATGCCAGGACAGCTGGCTCAATGGCTGAGCACTCTTAATTTTCTGCACTTTTCTCCCTCTCTGGTGTTTCTGATTTAAGTCATTCCATTTTCATGTTTTCCCACGGTTTCTGGTGTTTGTCTTTACAATAAAACCAAAAATAATTTCTATTTCACGAGTTCAAGGGACAGTTTCTATGAGCCGGCACTACATAATAAAACAAATGTTAGAGCCACTTTGACATGAGTAGTCTGAGGATTGATCTCTTGACAATTTTATTTTATTAAACATAATACTTCAAGTAGTTCAAATGAATGAATTAGAGGTCTATTTATACTTACTGTATGATACTGATGGCCCCAATCAGGCAAAGCAACAGATCACGTGTCTTTAGTTTTTGACAGCACTATGCCACACAAAGCACTGCAGTAAGGAATGAACTTTGGAAATAAAGTACACAGTGCTCATTTAAATGATACCGTAGCACTAGCAGTTCTGTTTTCATAAAGTCCTTTAAAATATCATTATGCCACATAATACAAAACTTGTAATTCCAGATTGTTACTTAGAAGAAAAAAAAGCATGCAAGAACAGGATGGTCTGGTCTTTTTTGCAGTTATTATATATACAATTATTTTGAACAATGTAATTCCAATGAAACAATTAGAGAAAGGTCTCTTTCAGTCAAGTACTGGTCGTCCTGCCAGTGTACAGTACATGCAGAAATAAATTAATCCAATAAAACATACATAGTTCATACACTACATAAAGATGGTAAATGTGCACAAGAGTCAGAAGTGAATATAAATGAATGCTCCATTTGAACATATACCAGATCATAGTTTGGTGATGTTTTTGTGTGTTTTAACCACATGGGCCCCATTTTATTAAAATAAAAGTTCCCTTTTGGTCAGCTGAGCCTAAAAACAGTGCAACAGTTTCTATTTTTGCTTGTCAATTTCAGTCAGAGTGACAGAATTCACAAAAAGGGACTGTCCCTTTTTAACCTGACAAACCCAATAAATTATCATTCTGGTACAAAAATATATAATAGATGTAATCCATTAAATGTTTCTCTTTCCCAAAACACAATGGTTGTCAAAATATACTATTAATATGCTAAGAAAAGTCATTTTCTTAACATGTTAAGCTCTAGTTGAATTCTTATGCAAAGGTTGAAACATACAATATACAGTGAAACTAAAAATATACTGTATAACATTGAATCTGTTGGCAGGACATGGACCTTTTTTAATAGTTAAAGTTACAGTACAGTCAATCATACTTGGTCCATGAGGTTTGGGTCATTAATAAATCAATCATTTTCTTGGTTATGTTTTTGATCAGCTGTATTATTGCTTTTGAACAGAGAATAAAGGATCTTTCAGTCTACAGAAAACAAAATTGAAGAGTGATGAATCTCAGAGCACTTGAAGCAGGTTGTATCTCACTTCGATTTTACACAGTATATCCATTCGCTAGAGGCCAACTGTGAGTCTTGATCTGAGCACAACAGGAAATTAAAGCGTCTCTGTTGAAAGAGCTTTAGCACAGTAGATCTGAACAGTAAGTGCTGACATTCTGCAGCCTTCATTGCAGATACGTTCTGTCCGAGTGAGACAAAGATGCAGAAAGCAACAGTTTGGTAAGGGATATTGCGGAAGTTCTTGAGTGGATCTTTTGGAAATTTGAGGCACGATCCAGCCAACAGCCCGTTACTACTGGTATCTTAAATTGGCTAATTGAATTCAACTGTTAAAACCAATACTTGTAAGCAGGACCACCAAAGTGCGTAAACAAAGTGTGAAAAGTTAGACATTGCACGTCCAGAAGCTCCAATGTGAAGGTCCAACACAAAGGTCATACCTGTAGGAATTACAGTAGGTCAATCCAACATGGCTTCCAGCTGGTCAGCAAGATCATCGAACATGTTCCCAATATCATCAAGAATGTTCCCAGCTGACTTCACTGTGTTAATGCCACTGAGAGAAAGAAGAGAAAGAACAAGGTCAACCCTTTACATTGCGAGTAAATCTTCACTCTGGTCGACTAAATGATGTCTAATATTAGCCAATGATTTTACTCAGATTTTATTCGCCAGTGTGTGAGTTGGAGGCTAAGTATAAGTTTAGCACAGATATATTTTCACTCGCCGAACACTCGGACCGAGCGCTTCAGAGTTTCTCTCTCCATCAAGCGATCTGTGCTATTTTTCAGTTCATCTGAATGGATGCGCAGCGCACCTGTATTTGACGTACCGTAAACTCTTGTGTGAAGCGCACGACTCGCCATAGCTTTATCTCACACACACGCAGAGAGAGAGAGAATTGACGCGCTACATGTAAACAATATTCTTTGTTGTATTTTCCTGTCAAAATAACAGCGTTCCTTTTGAATTCTTCAGCTTTTAAGAACTGCCGGGTTTTCCTGTAGTAGGCGGAACTAATGCACAAACGACAATCTCATTGGCTGGTGCTCACCTATTATCGTCCCTCATTTGATTTCAGCAAATCAGTTCGAGCGAACGCACACAACCTGATTAATATTCATGAATCCAGCAGCTCATTAATCCTTAGTGCGTTTTATATTGTTCTTAGAATTTGTTTCATTATTATCAGTATTTTTGTTAGTTTTTTTCCCCAAGTTCCCCCCCCCCCAGAAACACTGAATGACCAAAAAAGCACCATCACCAGTCCAGTTAAAATGTTCAGATAAAATGATCAATATGCATTCAAACATGGTTATCAAGTTTTAATTCTAATTACTGAAGTTCTATCATTAAATAATACTTGATCATCATATTATAATGCTTGACTGACTGATGTTAAGAGTGTACTTTCAGATTAAAAAAAAACGTTTTTATTATTATTATATATATTTATACAACAGTTCATTCTGGTTCTCAAATCTGATTGGTTGAGAACCGTGAGATATTGTACTGGTATCGCTACAGGAGCTACCTTTCACAATTTTGTATCACTCCGCTTGTTCTAGCCAGGTCTATGTTTTTTTTTTTAATTATTCACTGAGCTAATCGTAGAGTACGTTAGTTAATATAAGAAACGTCTAGCTTCGCGGTCTCTTTCTTCTCTCATTTGTATGCACGTCTTGCCGCATTGTTTCTCTCTTATAACCTCATTATTTCTCACTAATAACCTAACTGAAGCAGCACATGCCCTTGATACGAATTCTAAAAGTGTCAGCTGTCAACTGTCAGCTTGAGCTTTAAATCCGTAGCGGAAGGAAGTAGTTCCACACAAAAGAGGGTTTTATTAGGCACTCCATTGTTTCTTGTTTAATTACACGTTCTGTCGAACTGTTGTATAAACGCAATATCGCTCTCGTACTCGAGAGATATTGCTCATATATCAGTCTGGCGAGTGAACTAAAAAATTTACTAGCCAATGGCAATTCAATTGCCAAGGTGTCCGTAGAGGGTTGAAGGTTTAGTATGGGAGTATTGTAAGTGTATGTCTTAAAGGGTTAGTTCACCCAAAAATGAAAATTCTGTCATGAATTACTCACCCTCGTGTTGTTCGAAACTCATAAGACCTTCGTTCATCTTCGGAACACAATTTAAGATATTTTTGATGAAATCAGAGGGCTCTCTGACCCTCCCATAGACAGCAAGGTAACTACCACATTCAAGGTCCAGAAAAGTACCAAGATGATCGACAAAGTAGTCCGTGTGACATCAGTGGTTCAACTGTAAAAGTATGAAGCTACGAGAATACTTTTTTGCACAAAGAAAACAAAAATAACGACTTTATTCCACATTTTCATCTCTACTGCATCACTTGTGGACGCGCGTTCACGACAGTACCATGGCGCGAGCGTGTGGTGGTGCTGACCCAGATAAAATATCTTAAATTGTGTTCCGAAGATGAACGAAGGTCTTACGGGTTTGGAACAACATGAGGGTGAGTAATTAATGACAGAATTAAAATTTTTGGGTGAACTAACACTTTAATAAAGGAGTATTTACACTGACAGCAGCCTGTAGTCATTTTTAATTTTAATGAGAGTTTGCAGTTCTCAGGACCATGAGCGACCGCTGGCGATGCAATGTGGGCGTATTCCTTCAATGCGATCATTTTATCTCAACTTTTAGTGTGATAGATGAACCGGAGATAATATTACCCACGTAATGGCCAAAATAACCATTTTTATTTCAAATAATAACATATTAATATGCACTATTTAAAAGTTTGGATTCTGCTAGATATTTTAAAAAGAATACTTTTATTTAGCAAGGATGCATTAAACTGTTTAGAAGTGATTGTAAAGATATATATAATGTTACAAAAGATATCTATTTCAAAGAAATCCTGAAACAAATGTATAACTATTCCCACAAATATATTAAACAGCACAATAGTTTTAAAAAGTAAAAATGTTTATTGAGCACCAAATCACCATATCAGAATGATTCCTGGTGATTCTGGTGTAGGATTTACTTTGAAACAATTTTCACTCAGAAATTGCTAGTAAATTTTAGAAGTACAAAAAATGGCAAGTAACACATTGAATTAAATGTAAACATTTTAAGTAAAAAAAAAATGAAATTTTGAAACTGAAGTAATGGCTGCTGAAAATTCACTATTTTTTCTTTATTTTCTTTAAGTATATTAAATAGAAAACAGTTATTTTAAGTTGTAATAATATTTCACAATATGTTTTTTACTGTTTTTATGATCAAATAAACATAGCCTGTGTGAGCAAGAGACATTTCCAAAAAAAAAAAAAAAAAAAAAGATCTAATGCTGAGGTCATGTGGTGTAGCATTCTACCGTTTAAATTTTTTTAATGTTTTACTTACTATTTAAAAAAAAATAGTAACCAGTATACAGTATATAGTGTTTGGCATAGTATATAACAGTATCAGTACCAGTAGTTAGCATGCTAGTAACGAAACCATCAGGATTAGATTTCACAGCATCCCTATATTTAAAACACTATGACAGGGAGTTTGTCTTGGATTAGCATATGCTACACTATGATCTAAATCTGTTCAAAATGCAAAATGTGGTTCAACGCAGACAGATTGACCAGCTACACTGCTGAGAGTGGATTTGTTGTGACAAAATAGGAAGGGAGTCAAATGAAAGTCCAAACTGTAAAGACACCATCTGTCTCCGTCCGTGAGATAAAGACATCAACAATCTGTCTTCATGGCAGCCAAAACAATCAAAGAGTCAAAGGAAAAACAAACACTAGCTTTAGGGAGATCACCTATTGCTAGATTTCCCAGCGGGCTTGTTGTGACAAGCGGTCATTCAGTCATCTGCAAACCTGTCTCATCAAAATACAGAATTTCCTCTACAGTACTGTGTGAAAAAGTGGATTCAATCTGTTTAATACTTTTCGGACCATGACAAAAAGGACAGTTACAAAAAGACAAAAGATCCTGTAGATCCTCCTATGTGATATCCTGTGTTACCTGTCTGCTGGATCTTCCTGAGACAACTTCTTCTCCACAACTTTAAGTGCCGCCTCGAGAGACGTGCTGGTTTGCTCAAGTCGTTTGTGGACCAGCATGTGCTGGCCTTCCGTCACAGCCTGTGACTTTCCTGCCAGTACAGACTGACCTTGAGGTGCTTTGTTTAGTGTACAGCGAGCCAGAGGACTACATGGAGGTGAGACGGCAAAGGCCACGCTCTGTACGACACTGACTGTCCGTCCTGAAGAAAATTGACGACAGCCAAAAGGTGGAGATAGAACAATAATTTAGTAGAGCATTAGTTAACAAGTAGAACCATGGGCAAATGTTTGTGAGAATTCCAGGGCTAGTTTTTTTTTTTTTTATAGCATCAATCATTAACTGAAACTAAAACTATTATTCAGCGTTTTTGGTCACTGAAATAAATGTAAAATAAAATATAAATTCGATGAAAAGAATTAGAAATGTTGCACTGGCAATTAACAGAAATCACTGTCAACTAACTATTAACCATGACTTTTGCCTCAATAAACTTCTAATTTGCTGCTTATTAATAGTAATGTAGTTGTTAAGTTTAGGTATGGGGTAGGGTTGAGGGATCTAAAATATGATTACGCAAAATAAGGCATTAATATATGCTTTACAAGTACAAAATAAACAGCCAATATGCTAGTAACATGCATGCTAGTTAATAGTGAGAAATGGTCCTTAAAATAAAGTGCTACTCCATTTTTTTGACTCAGAAATACATCATATTACATAAGTAAAATGGGCTTACACATTGATTTTAACAAATGAAAAATTCCAAATAAAGCATCAATTACAGCTGATATTTACAGCTGTAAATAAAGACAGATTAAGCTGAACATCTTTAAACGCCTCTAATGTGTGATCAGATCACCTCTGCATTATTTAAATAATATCATGCATATAAAGACCAATTTTCAGATACTTCGGTGCTGATGTGATTTATTGGTAATTGGAGGAAATAAATTCTGATGTTTAAAGCCGAGAATGACAAATAAGATGTCATCATCTCTAACATGCATTCAAAGCATCTTGTTTTCAGGCATTAACATAATTACGCTGTAAATGAGCCTTTAAGACCTACACATTCATATTTTGACTACTGTTCAAAAGTTTGGGGGTCAGTAAGAATTTTTTTAAAGTCTCTTATTCTCACCAAGGCTGCATTTAATAAACAAAAAAATAATAAACAGAGAAAAATTTAAAAAACTGTTTTCTATGTTACAGTATTTTAAAATATAATTTATTATTGTGATGACAAAGCTGATTTTCAGCAGCTATTACTCCAGTCATCAGTCACATGTTCCTTCAGAAATCATTCTAATATGCTTATTTGGTGATCAAGAAACATTTCTTCTTATTAATGTAGCAAACAGCTGTGCTGCTCAATGGTGTTGAGTAAACTGTGATATATTTTTTCAGGATTCTTTAATTGATAAAGAAAAAAAATCAGCATTTATATTAAATGAAATCTTTTGTAACTTTATAACGTCTTTACTGTCACTTTTAAACAATTTATTGCATCCTTGCACCCTTTCCTGATTTATTTCAGGAAAAAAAAAAATCATACTGACCCCAAACTTTTTAACAATAGTGTATGTTTGGAAGTAGCTATGCATTTGTTCAAAATAAAAATGGTTTTAAAATTAATTTTTAAATACAAATCCTAGCGATGCACCGATCGATCGGGATCGTAATCGGTCGATTTTCCTCATGATCGGCCATGATCGGACCAGTCAGTCTCACTTCTTTCCGATTCCGAGCCGATCCGTTTTGTTACCAGTGGCACAGGCAATAATATCAGCCGCGCATTCTCGTTCCCTTCTCTCCGACGACCCCTTCTCTCACACACACGTCTCATTCGCTCCGGTTAAATAGTGCTTGTATTGCACATTATTTTAGTCATTCCCGCAGGTTTCACGCTTACACCAAAAGCGCGCGCACCACCACTGATCTGTATTAGTGGAGCGCACAAGCCGCTCAGTCTCAAACAGCTTGTGAGCCACAAATACCAAAATGAGTAACAGAGCGACAGAGAGAGACGGGGGAGCCGGATTTAAACACAAGCGTGTTGGTTAAAGGCAGAGTAAGTGATTTCTGGTAGCCAATGTTGATATTTGAAATCACCAAAACAAACACGCCCCTACCCCAAAAGGGTCTTGCCCCTATTTTGATAGCTCCGCCCCACATATACGTACGCAACCCAGGCAACGATTAGTTCTGTGAAACAAAGCAAAACCAATGTTATACCGGGTCTACGGACGTGAGCGGCGCAACAAATCCCCGACAGAAAACTGCTGCCCGGTTCCATTTATGACGTGCTGACACAAATTTCAAATGGTTTTCAACGGTCGTTTGATCGCGTCCAGTGTAGGCAGACTTTAGCTGTTGTAGACACGGTGTTACTCACCTATTGAGAAGAAACAAAGCAACCTCGGCGTCCGATCGCAGGCCTCCGATCCTTGAGTTCTCTCCAGCGCTGGAAAGCTGATTCGATATTTACACGGGTCCTACTTCTTGCTTTATCGTTCCGCAGACGTTTTCTTCTTTTGTTTGTTTTTTATCCGCCATCTCTATCTTTCTGTCGCTCGGCTCGGCTAATGTCTGTCCCATGCACTGAACGCGCTCTCCTCCACATCACGAGTAGACACGCCCCTTATTGCTGATTGGCTACCAGTTTGTTTTGCGATTCGGCCCGAATCAGTTTTCTAAAGTGTTTTTGAAAAATCACTTACTCTGCCTTTAAGGTAGGAAGACACTGCATTGTTGCAACATCGGTCCCTTCAGAGAGAGTCTTCTCAAAAACAGGACAAATAATCACAGAGGAGAAATCGCATCAGCACATCCAAGCTGGGGCATCTGATATTTCTGAATGCCAACCTGCACTAAAGATTAAAGTGTCTTAATGTTAAAACTTTTGCCTTTATTTATTTATTTGCTGTGGTTGCTGTGGTTTTGTGTTCAATTAAGGTTTTATTAAAATGTTAAATAATAGTAACTGTATTTCTTGTAACGAAAAAAAATGCATACATATAAGGCTATTATAAAAGCACTGAATAAAAAATTGCTTACCAATACGCAAACCATTCACAATTGCTAAATTGGGCTAAAATAGAAGGCTCCGAGTGATACTAAATGAAGAGCCATTTGGGAGCCGTACGAGCCGGCTCTTCTTAGGGAGCCGAGCCAAAAGAGCCGAATCTTTGATAAGAGCCGGACTTCCCATCACTAGAGAACGCATGTTGTGTAACAGTATATTGGGTCCGTGGTTAAACTCTTAAAGTGACCGCAGTCCAATATTCCTGCTGCTGTCTGTCATGTTAATCAAAGAAGAAAAGACAAAGAAAATCACTTTCTGTTCTTGACTGAATACGTTTTATAACTTTAATGGTAAGCATTAATCTGTATTTAATTTGTACAATGAAGACTACAGAAATTAAAGTAATCAAATGTAAAATAACACAGTGTTATTTTACATTTGATTACTTTAATTTCTGTAGTATTTCTTACCTGAATAAAAACGTACTTAACCCGAAAAACTTAGGTTCATAGCTCATTGCATTTATTTGTGCTGTTGTTTGCAATTTTTTTTTACTGACTTTTTACTTGTGTTTTTTTAACGAAAATAAAACTTTGCGTTGAAAAGAAAAGTAGATTGTTGTTTGTATATGCTGTGAATTAGTTCTTAGAAAGAAAATCGGAATCGGCAAAAATCGGTATCGGCAGATCACACTAACAAAAAAATCGAAATCGGCCAAGAAAATTACAATCGGTGCATCTCTAAAAAATCCTTCTCTAATACAATCTTCGAACTGACATTTAAAAAAAATTATAATTTATACTAAGTGCTTTTTTTCTCACTTTAAATAATAGCCTTAACACATAGCAGTACCTGAGTTTGCTGCAGAAGAATGACGTGTGGGCTTAGAAGGGGTGGGAGGTTTATGTGGAGATCCTGGTTTCAGAGAGAGGCCAGATTTAAAAGGATTTTTTGTCAATCCACCATTCTGCATGCATTGTGAGACCATCTCGGTCTCTGTGGCCTTCTCATTTCCTATTTCTGTGCTGGTGCCCTGACCTTTCTGCAGTTCTTTTGGCTTGTGTCTCCTTTTGACTGTGTCTGATTCCTTTAAGTTAAACTCAGGCACCTCTAGGGATGATCTGATAGATTGCGCCAGCTTCAGAATTTCAACACCGGTCTCAGACTCTATCTTAGAGGATGCTATTTTGGTCCTTTGTTTGATGGTAACTTTGCCCTCTTCAGCGAAAGGTATGCTCTCCTGTGAGGATGTTGAACCTTGTTGGTTCCTCAGAGGGCTGATGTTTTTACCAGCAGGATTTTCTCCACCATGCTTCGTTTCATACACGGAAGATTCACTAGTAGTCCTCCTACAGTTTTCCATATTTTTTGGTGAGATGGCTGGGGACATGGCTTTAAAAACAGGGCTGTTGCATGTCTTGTTGGGGCTTCCTGTACTGTTCTCCAGCCTGGATGCAATGCTTCTGACACTTCCTGCGCTCTCCGTTTCAACCTCACTTGTAGTGACCCCATTCGGGGCAGAGCTTAGTCGCTTTGGAGGGGGAGGAGGAGGACCTTTCCTCTTGGCACGTATGGCGAAGGAATGACTGCGCCCCACTTGATGCTCACTGGAACTGTAAGACGGTTGGCTGCGGCTGGGTTTGCGAGTAAGCGTGGCATAAGATGCCACATTGGTGGAAGTTATCGAAGGAGCTGAGATGTCATCTTTTTCATTCTCTCCATCCGACATAGCATAGCGTGAAAGACTCTGAGTCCATTTTTTGGATCGCAATGTCTCCCCATTTGGCTGCATGGCTCTGATTGGACTTGGGCTTCCAATGTTGGCGTTGCAGTTTTGATGCTGCAGGTAGCTAAAGCCCCTCTGAAGAGGTGATCCATGATGGGGCTGAGAGGGAGAAACCACCGGTCTAGGTTTGGTGAGGACGGGTGGATATGCAAAACATGCTATTTTACTAGTGGTTATGGGTGGCGTCCTTGCTGGACTGCCAGATGTGGGCTGATGAGGTTGTAGCGGCAACACTGGCGCCATTTTGACAGGTGATATTTGGCTTCTATCCTGAGATTCCCTAATGGCATATTGTTCCTTGATGGGACTGTTGTCCATGCTGCCCAGGCTCTCTTGTGAGCGGCTGTTGGGGGATACCGATGCCATTGGACGCTCTTGCGACCGTCCCGACCCTCCTGACCGTGTACCAATGCTTTCTTGACTAAGACGCATGGCTGTTCCACTCATGTTTCCGAGACCATCTTGGCCTCCACCGTATCCGCTGCGAGCCATGGCGTTCTGTAGCTCAATGCTCAGCTCACTGTCCTGGAAGGTGAGCATCTTTGGTGATAGAGGTGATGAGGGGCATTCAGAGCTGTCGTGATGCTCGATGGCCACCAGCTCGAGGGCAGGAGGAAGTCTCCTGCGCTGTAGCAATGCCTGCCCTTCAGCCTGGTTCTTACGAGCCTTCTCGACGTCACTCAGCTTCTTAACAGCAAGCATCAGCTTTTTCTGATGGCCTGTAGATAAACAACATGTCAATCCACAGATGTATGTTTAGAAAACCAAACACTCTGGAAAAAGAAATGTGGTTTTGGAATCTTGTGTACATGGGCATATTTTATATCTGATATTTATATCTATTAAATATATGACTGATGTTTTATATCTAGGCTTGAATCCACAGCACCATTTAAATGCATTTGTGCAATCTATCTACCACTCAAATGTTTGGTCAGTAAATTTTTTTTTTTGCAGCAAGGATGCATTAAATTGCTCAAAAGTGACAGTCAAAACATTTATAATGTTACAAGATTTCTATTTCAAATAAAGCTTAAAGTTTTTTAACTTTACTGTATATTCATTAAAGAATCCCGATGTATTACAGTTTCCACAAAAATATTAAGCAGCACAGTTCATTTGAACATTGATAAGAAATTTCCTAAGAAATTCTTGAATGCCAAATCAGCACAACAGACAGATTTCTGAAACTGAAGACTAGAGTAATGGCTGAGTAAATTCAGCTTTGCCATGAAAAAAAAACAGGAATAAATTATATTTTAAAATATATTAAAATAGAAAAGAGTTTTTTAAAATTGTAATAATATTTCACAATATTACTGTATATTTTACTGTATTTTTGATCAAATAAATGCAGCCTGTGTGAACAAAGGCTTTCAAAAACTTTTTTTTTAAATCACTAAAAGAAACAAATTCAACGGTAGTGTATCCATCCATCCACTTACCCAGTTTAGTGATGCCAATTTCCTGTAGATCCTCCCATGTGATATCCTGCACTATGTTGATGGAGTCATAACCATTCTCCGCTAGCTTTTTCTGGTATTGTGGCAGCCCAATAGCACTGAGCCACTTCCCAATATCAGACTGAAACAAACAGACAAATATAAAGGTGCTGCTTTTATTTCATTTGATTAATCCTCGCTGTGCCTCAGTTGGTTAAGCATATAAAAGTCAATGTCTGTGATATGAATCTAGCAATCATCTGTTTATGAACTCCAGAAGCTCTCATTAGTGTCATAACCTTGAACCTGTACAGCACATGTATGTTTATGTAAACATTTAAAACTGTTCATATGAAAATATAGCACTGAATTACTGGAATGTAATCTGGCAACCATTCAGGGATATTCATGTAGCCTATCTCCGTGGAGATCTTCTTGCGGTGGCCAGGCTTTGTAACACCAATAGCTGTGAGATCCTAGAACATAAAAAGCAGATTGATACACTTAAAAAATGAATGATGACGGTATGTTCAGCTTTGAAATCTATCGAAAGCAGTAATGAATACCAATGTGTTGTGCCAGAAATGCAGCAGGATGCAAACGTACTTAAATGCTTATACACAAAAAGATGGCCTCACCTCAGGGGTCATTCTGCTGATTGTGGGCACATCATAGCCAGCTGTGAGGAAATTAGATGTGTACTGCTCAAGCTGAAACTCACAGAGCCACTGGTAAATAGCCTCAGCATCCTAATACAAGGAGACGACTGAGCATTATGCACAAAAGCCCAATGGGTCAGTCATGTTAACAACCACAGTTAGATCCAATTATCTAGTTAAAAAATAGTTTAACATTTCATTTGAAATGAAAATAGGCATTCTACTGAAAATACATAAATAAAATAAAGAGGATTTAGAGGACTGTGCAATGCTATGTGTTTGGCTACTATTCTAAGAGAATACTAGTTTACTACCTAAATAGTGAGCAGTATATGCTGTATAGAACTCTTAGTCAGTGAAAGAGTGAATTATTCCACAATAAACATTTCAAACTGTATGCAACATTAGCACATGATTTCAGCAAGTGGCATCTACAGTGGGGCAAAAAAGTATTTAGTCAGCCACCAATTGTGCAAGTTCTCCCACTTAAAAAGATGAGAGAGGCCTGTAATTTTCATCATAGGTATACCTCAACTATGAGAGACAAAATGAGAAAAAAAATCCAGAAAATCACATTGTAGGATTTTTAAAGAATTAATTGGTAAATTCCTTGGTAAAATAAGTATTTGGTCACCTACAAACAAGCAATATTTCTGGCCCTCACAGACCTGTAACTTCTTCTTTAAGAGGCTCCTCTGTCCTCCACTCGTTACCTGTATTAATGGCATCTGTTTGAACTCGTTGTCAGTATAAAAGACACCTGTCCACAACCTCAAACAGTCACACTCCAAACTCCACCATGGCCAAGACCAAAGAGCTGACAAAGGACACCAGAAACAAAATTGTAGACCTGCACCAGGCTGGGAAGACTGAATCTGCAATAAGTAAGCAGCTTGGTGTGAAGAAATCAAATGTGGGAGCAATTATTAGAAAATGGAAGACATACAAGACCACTGATAATCTCCCTCGATCTGGGGCTCCACGCAAGATCTCACCCCGTGGGGTCAAAATGATCACAAGAACTGTGAGCAAAAATCCCAGAACCACACGGGGGGACCTAGTGAATGACCTGCAGAGAGCTGGGACCAAAGTAACAAAGGCTACCATCAGTAACACACTGCACCGCCAGGGACTCAAATCCTGCAGTGACAGACGTGTCCCCCTGCTTAAGCCAGTACATGTCCAGGCCCATCTGAAGTTTGCTAGAGAGCATTTGAATGATCCAGAAGAGGATTGGGAGAATGTCATATGATCAGATGAAACCAAAATAGAACTTTTTGGTAAAAACTCAACTTGTCATGTTTGGAAAAGAAAGAATGCTGAGTTGCATCCAAAGAACACCATACCTACTGTGAAGCATGGGGGTGGAAACATCATGCTTTGGGGCTGTTTTTCTGCAAAGGGACCAGGACAACTGATCCGTGTAAACGAAAGAATGAATGGGGCCATGTATCGTGAGATTGAGTGAAAACCTCCTTCCATCAGCAAGGGCACTGAAGATGAAACGTGGCTGGGTCTTTCAGCATGACAATGATCCCAAACACACCGCCCGGGCAACGAAGGAGTGGCTTCGTAAGAAGCATTTCAAGGTCCTGGAGTGGCCTAGCCAGGCTCCAGATCTCAACCCCATAGAAAATCTTTGGAGGGAGTTGAAAATCCATGTTGCCCAGCGACAGCCCATAAATTCTTTAAAAATCCTACAATGTGATTTTCTGGATTTTTTTTTCTCATTTTGTCTCTCATAGTTGAGGTATACCTATGATGAAAATTGCAGGCCTCTCTCATCTTTTTAAGCGGGAGAACTTGCACAATTGGTGGCTGACTAAATACTTTTTTTCCCCACTGTAATTAACATGAAAATAAAAATGATTGTTTTGAACTTATCTACACTTTTGTGTACATATACATTATATATATATATATATATATATATATATATTAAAAATCATCTTCATCATCATTAGAAGTAGAGGTGGTGGTGGTATTATACAAAACATAATTAAAATTATATTAGGCAAAATGTTTATTTTACATTGTTAATCCAGTACATTAAATTTATTGGTCACACTTTATTTTAAGGTCCAATCCTCGCTATTAACAAACATTTAACTATGACTTTTGCCTCAATAAACTCCTAATTTGCTGCTTATTAATAGTTAGTAAGGTAGTTGTTAAAGTCGTCATGAAACAGAAGTTGAGATTGTACTTTTTTTCCCTATTGTGGCATATATCCGAGTTAAACGGCTACTGAAATGAGAAACAAAATGCAGGGCAGGGCTTGATTTCATCCTTCAGAAATTGTTTGGATCGTTGGAAGTTGGGCGTTGCTAACAAAATGAAGGCAGAAACGAGACAGTAGATCCCTGCACGGCCCTCAAATTTAGGCCCTAGCCCGGCCCTAGCCCGGGCCGTGTCTGACAGCTTATCAGAATTACCGGCCGAGCAGGGAGGCCGAGCAGGGAGACCAGCGATAACCCCCCAAAACAAAACCATATGCTGATATCCCCCAACACAAACTGATAGCAAAATCTCAAAGCCTTAAGCAACAAGCATGTTGCCCTTAACCAATGACCAATCAAATATGTTGCCAAAACCTGCATAACCTGTAGCAACAATTCTGTTGCCTTTAACAGTTGACCAATGAATATGTTGCCAATACCGTAAAAGCTTAAGCAGCATTCTCAATAACACCAGCTAGACTTAAGAAAAACATGTTCCAATTCAACTACAGCTTTCAGAACAAGCATGTTCCGAATAACGACCGGATTGCTCTGGAACAAGCATGTTCCCAACAATACAGCTATAACTTAAGAACAAGCATGTTCCCAATAACGACCAGGTAGCTTAAGAACGAGCATATTTCCAATACGACTAGACAGCTTAAAGGGGTCATAAGATGGGATTTCAAGTTTTCCTTTCTCTTTGGAGTGTTACAAGCTGATTGTGCATAGATAAGATCCCTGAAGTTGCAAAGACTAAAGTTTCAAAACCAAAGAGATATTCTTTATCAAAGTTAAGACTCTGCCACGCCCCCCTAAAACGTCTCGTTCTAACACGCCCCCACATATCTACCTCATTATGTGGAAATATTAGCATAATGCCGCCCAAATGTGCACGCAAAGAAAGGCAGCGTGGTTTCAGTAAACGCAGTTAGTGTTGAAGCAGCCATGTCAGGGAGATGCTGTGTGTTTCTAAGTGAAAGCAAAAGCACTTTATTTGGCCTTCCGAAAGTAGATGCATTTAGGAATCTTTAAGACTACTTACAACAGAACAGCAATGCATTTTATGGACGACTGTTTCGTGAACCGGCTTGAACTGATGGTAAAACGAATGACATTATTTACTGTCTTTGCATTTATTTTGAAAGATGAAACTTGCAATTATGGTAAGGGGCATTACATTTCCGATGAGTGCTTGCGGTGTTTGGCCAATCACAATGCACTGGGTCAGCTGGCCAATCAGAGCAGACTGCGCTTGTCGGAAGGAGGGACTTTGTAGAAAACGAAGCGTTTGAGAGAGGCGGGGCATAGAGGACCTACAATAATGTACAGTATTTGAAAAATAATGTGTTTTTTGAACAATAAAGCATGTCAACATATTCTGTTACACCAAATACACAAAATAATGATCTTTTAAAAAAGCATCATATGACCCCTTTAAGAACAAGAATGTTCCCAATATGACTACAGCTTTTAGAACAAGCATGTTCCAATAACGACCAGATAGCTCTGGGACAAACGTGTCCCCGATAATACAACTATAACTTAAGAACAAGCATGTTTCCAATACGACTAGACAGAACAAGCGTGTCTGATATAGGAACAGAATCAACGCTGAACTGACGGCTGCATCCAAAACTGGAAAATGCTGCCTTCGGAGAACACATTTCAAGATAGGAAGTCATCGAGACATGTCGAATCTAAAATTAGCTTCAATTCCTGCCTCCTGAGATACCTTATCTGGTCGATATTAAAAGGCAGAATAGATGTATCCTTTGCTGCCTTGATACCCACAATCCTGTGTGTTCTATCCTGTGATGGTTGATCAAATAAATCATTGAATATTTGCTTAGTTATCACCAAGCACGTTCTATTTGTTGTAGATCATTGAACCATTAAGCTGCCTCAGAAGCATGTCCAATATCAGTTTCATGAGTTACCTTCATTAACAAACTCTGCCTGCGAAGTCATTAGCTGATAGGCGGTGAGGCAGCATGTCAGCAGCCTAGGTTTTCGGATGCAGACGACTTCAACTGAACAATGACCGTTTACCATTTTCTCTTGGAGCTGCGCCGCGGCAGAAATTATTCAGTTTGCAGCATGGTCGTTATTTCCTGCTGCTTAAATTTGTGCTGTAGTCTGGAATTCATGGCAGCTTTCTTTGGCCAAGCCCGCCCATGAGGCCGTTTGACCGACATGTCAAACAACCAATCACAGTTCGTTTCATTCAGCGGCACATTTCGGGGCGTGGAAATGTTGCCTCAATAACAGACCGGAGTGTAAAACTCTCGGACGCATTTGAAAGATTCTGTGCCGCAAACTTAAATATTTTACATACTTTGAGAATCCAGCGTTTAGTTGATCCTGATAAGCGCTCAACGTCACAGTTGTAAACACGATGGCTTTCTTCTTTCGTAAGGGTTTGGCGTCACTGCATCTTTGTTTCCAGGCGGAACGTTAAAGAACTTGACACACACGTCTCCCGGAAATCCTGTATAATTCAACCAATCCGATGACGACTTCGAAAACTCCTGAAGTGTTTCCACTTTTGTGTGCCGTATGCATCAGACATTCAGCCAACGGTCCGAGGGCGTGACGTCTGAGGCTCAGACTATAAAAATAAAGTCGACTTGACTAGGTTAAAGGGGACATAACACACACAGTTTTGGCCAATCTTATGTTAATCTTGAATACCTATCGTGTAGTATTGCATCATTCAAATCTCCGAAGAGTCTTCAGTTTTATCAGATTTATAAAAGAAAGATACAGCTTGCGATTCTCTCTGACAACAGCCAAGCTCCTGGAGGCGAGCTGTGGGCAGAGCTGAAGAGTCGCGAGCACTTACACTTACTAAAAATTTGATGCAGTTTTACAGCAGTTCCTATATGACCGGGATCTTTTATCACTGGGGCTTCTCCATCTTCCAGTACCAAACGATGTGCAAATCCAGTGTCAGAATGTACCTTGTTATAAAACATTCGTCACCGAAATGACGGGAACAAACAAACATGCTTGAGAAACCCCGTTGCTGCCTTGGAAAAACAAATTGCATCCACTGTTCACATAACACTGAATAAGGTTATTTTCCTCACATCCAAAAACACACTCTTTAGAGATATTAGGCTTGTTCAACTTCATGCGGCGCCGCAATCGGCTGCCGCCTGTCAATAATAATGCATTCTGGTTACATTAAAAATGCTTTTGTCCAATTTTGATCGGCGCTGCAGCCGCTACCTACGATCACATCTGCATTCAAAGTACTGCGAGAGCAAAACGGGACCAGCCGCCTAGGTCAGGCACTGCAAAAGCCTTGATGACGACACACTTTATTCCCATTGGTTAGATTCTGTGATGACAAGCACGATGTGTTGCATGCTTATTCTAACAATTCAATTCCAATGATGCTCACAAATCTGTGTTTTTATAACAGTAAAAGCTTTTTTTTTTGTAGTTGCACTGTTATATTGTCACGTTCAAAGAACACTGATGAAAGCATATACAGTATCTCACAGAAGTGAGTACACCCCTCACATTTTTGTAAATATTTAATTATATCTTTTCATGTGACAACACTGAAGAAATGACGGTTTGGGGTCCTTATCATGTTGGAATACAACTATGGATCATGCTCTGCTTCAGAATGTCACAGTACATGTTGGCATTCATGGTTCCCTCAATGAACTGTAGCTCCCCAGTGCCGGCAACACTCATGCAGTACGTCATCTTTAGAAGAGGCTTCCTTCTGGGACGACAGCCATGCAGACCAATTTGATGCAGCGTGCGGCATATGGTCTGAGCACTGACAGGCTGACCCCCCCACCCCTTCAACCTCTGCAGCAATGCTGGCAGCACTCATACGTCTTATTTCCCAAACACAACCTCTGGATATGACGCTGAGCATGTGCACTCAACTTCTTTGGTTGACCAATGGCGAGGCCTGTTCTGAGTGGAACCTGTCCTGTTAAACCGCTGTATGGTCTTGGCCACCGTGCTGCAGCTCAGTTTCAGGGTCTTGGCAATCTTCTTATAGCCTACGCCATCTTTATGTAGAGCAACAATTCTATTTTTCAGATCCTCAGAGAGTTCTTTGTCATGAGGTGCCATGTTGAACTTCCAGTGACCCGTGTGAGAGAGTGAGAGCGATAACCCCATATTTAACACACCTGCTCTCCATTCACACCTGATACCTTGTAACACTAATGAGTCACATGACACCGGAGAGAGAAAATGGCTAATTGGGCCCAATTTGGACATTTTCACTTAGGGGTGTACTCACTTTTGTGGCCAGCGGTTTAGACATTAATGGCTGTGTGTTGAGTTATTTTGAGGGGACAGCAAATTTACACTGTATGCATATGCTGTATGCACTGTATGCATATATATATACACTGCATGCATAAATATATATATATATATATATATATATATATATATATATATATATCTTTGGTGTACTCACTTTTGTGGCCAGCGGTTTAGACATTAATGGCTGTGTGTTGAGTTATTTTGAGGGGACAGCAAATGTACACTGTTATACAAGCTGTACACGCACTACTTTACATTGTAGCAAAGTGTCGTTTCTTCAGTGTTGTCACATGAAAAGACATAATAAAATATTTACAAAAATGTGATGGGTGTACTCACTTCTGTGAGATACTGTACACCCCCACTTAATTGGTATTTAAACAGCATATGTTAATGTTTAACTTATTCATTAACAGATGGCGCTGTATTAAGCAGTATAAAAAGTGTTTCTGTTGCTTTATGAAAACATTTCTGAAACATCTGTGTATTTGACAAATGTTGCATTTAATTCACTTCATCTGTGAATGTATGCAAACACTGCGAGAGCGTCATAACCAGGAGCAGAAAGTGTCTGACTTGACGTCTCCGCTTTAATTCCGCCCAGACTGCAAGCGGCTACTCTCTCCAGCCAGAGGCAGGCTAGTGTAGTTCCTCTCGAACAACATAGTCTTCTCGAGCAAGTAATTGCGGTGCTGCTGAAGACTTCCGTAACCATGAAAGAAACGCGTTAAAGGGATAGTTCACCCAAAAATGAAAATTTGATGTTTATCTGCTTACCCCCAGGGCATCCAAGATGTAGGTGACTTTGTTTCTTCAGTAGAACACATTTGATGATTTTTAAGTCCAACCATTGCAGTCTATCAGTCTTATAATGTATGGCAATGGTAACAAAATCTATGAGTGTAAAAAAAACATGCACAGACAAATCCAAATTAAACCCTGCGGCTCGTGACGACACACTGATGTCCTAAGACACGAAACGATCGGTTTGTGCCAGAAATTTTTTTACCTCTAATTCACCACTATGTCCAATTGTCTTTGTGTGCGCGCACGGCTTCCGGTGCGTGAGGTGTGTACGCGCTCTGGCGTAGTTTACGTTAATGGGTGTTGTCGCGGGAGGAGCAAACGACAGACACAGTTTATTAACAGAAAATAAACAAAGTGTCCAGAAAAAAGG